AGGAGTGAAGGATTGAGGGCTTTACTGCAATTTACCACACACGGGCTAAAGAGCTGGTTAGCACAGCAAAACCTAGGTCTGGCAGACTTGAACATGGAGATTGTTAGAAGCAGGGAGAATTCAGGATAGCATCTAAGGGGAAGGTCACATAAGGCAGGGAGAAAAAGTACAAAGAGGATCTCTCCTTCCAGTTCTGAGAGGGAGAGGGCAGAAGAAGTAGGGCGAGAAGCAGGCCACGGTCTTTGGTTACCACCCACCCTTGGGGACGAAATTGAATGGAGAGGGTGCCATGCATATCCAACCAGGCAGGGGTCGGGCTGGGAACAGGAGAGTCAGAGCCTGCACCCTTCGATGCAGCCCAGGAGAGGCTGCAAGTGTCTAGGAAAGCTTCGCACTCAGCTTAGACCCACACCCAGCACGGTGTCGGGGAGGGACCCCTAGACGGCACCCGAGCAGCCACAGATCCCTCACACACACACGATAGACAAAGCCTGACCTGCCAGCTCACCGTAGAGACAAAGGATGGTACAAGCAACTGAGCACATGGATCTGGGAGCCCTCTTCTTCCTCACTGCACGTCCCCGCCCACCCCATTTCGTGTGTGTCATCTCAGACAAGAGCAGTGGACACAAGGAGCAAATCAGATAGAGTGAGCCCATATCTGAAGGAAAAATGAGTCGTCTAAGCGAGACTATTTAAACCAAAGACACAGAGGTGCTGTCAATTGGCAAGTTGAAATTCACTACCCTTTGCCCCAACGCCCAGGAGGGCGGGCACAGTGAGAAAGATTGGATGGCTAATGGAAAATAAGGTATGTTTTCTTTGCATATATGTGGAATAATGTTAAACTGCAACACGTCTACACCATAGAAGAAAGAATTGTGTATTTGTTAATCGCACACCTCCTCCAGAAAGGATTTGAAGCAGCTACAATCCATAAGTTGGAAAATAAACACTTAAGGGAAGATCAAAAGACTCAATAAGGCTTAGTTATTCAGCACGAAAAAGAGAATGCTGAGGATACACTTCATACATGCGTTTTAACATATGGAAGGTTAGTACGAGAAGTGGGGTGACTTGTGTCTTCTCTACTCATGGAATGTCAACATTTTTGTGGAAGAAATTAGAGAAGCAAGAGCTGTCTTATTCAGGCCTTTGTCTCTAGCCCTTCCTAGACTTCCTGGAGCATAGTGTATGCTCAGTTAACATTTATTGAATGAATAAATGAAAAAATAAACTGCTTAGCATCCGCATGGGTAGCTAAAGACAGTTTTAGAGCTCTTCAAGGCATTGGTAGTGCTATGGGTGAAATAGGGGAGCCAGGGGAATCTGCGGTGGCAGGAGGTAGGACCCTTTGTCACCCCATCGCCACAAGAACAGACCTGCCAAAGAAGGAAGAAAAGAAAGGAGTCAATGTGGGGAGTTTGCTGTGTAGGCTGTGAGGTTGGGGTTCATGCAAGGGGCACTGTTTCTGGGCAATGCTGTAGCCTCAGGTGATCCCATACAACCTCTGCTAAGCGCCTTATGGAGAGGTGTCTTAAGAGTTGAGGCTCTGTCCCAGGGTTGGCCTGGGAGGAAGAGAAATGTCACCAAGGCATGGCCTCAGAGAAGCAGGCCTACCCTGGTGGGCCCAGGGGGGCTGTTTGGTCTAAAAGTAGACTTTATGTACATATATGCATGAACTCTCTGGGCTAAAAGAAGAACTTTAAGGCACTTTTAAACTTGTGTTCCATTAACTTGTAGTGTGTGATGAATTAAGGATTTTTCAAAACAAATCCAGCAATGCCTTGTGAATAGCACCATGAAACAGCACTATGAAAAGGGTTAAGATGTCAATTTCTTAAATGTAAACATGTAAAGTATATTATAATTAGTGTAACCCTATTTTAGTTTTTCTTTATTCTTTTAAAATACCAGAAATCTAAAAATACTGGAAGCCACCAAGGCCCCATCTGAGATGTTCTGGTGCAAATCTTTGGAAATAAAAACCATATAGTGCTACCAAGAGTTGTCTAAATGTGACAGTCTTTCTGTCATCTCTCTGCATTTTATACACTGTTCCCTGGGCCAAAAGCACAGGGCTTTCATATTCACCCTATCCCCATGCTCAGCAACATTTCTCAGGGCTGACTCCTCCACCCAGGCATCACGCCCTCCCAGAAGCCTCCTGTGCCCCTCAGTCTGGTTTGGTGGCTTCCTTTGAGTTTTCACAGTGCCTGTCCTATTCTTTGCCACTCATCTCTCTTCCCCACTACAGTGTGAATTCCTTTAGAGCTGGCACCATCCATCTCATCCTCTCTGAATTCCTGGGACTTATCGTAGTGCCCGGCATGTGGCAGACATCCTAGCAAGGCTCTGGGAACTCCAACTTTCCCACTATGGCCCTTCCCAGAGTGACAGCGCTGTTTTACGGGGTGGGCACGGTTCTAAGTCCATATGTACAAGTCTCACAGATTCAGCAGAAAGCATGCTGACTGCAGAGAGACCCGAGTGCTGTCCAGTTCCACACCGGGACTCCGATTTCTTTCTCCTGTGTTAGGGGCTCTGGGGCAAAATTACGCCAGATAGAAAACTGTCATGGGAGTGAGAATATGAAAATGCTTGCACCGTGGAGGGAGACGGCGAGAAGCGTTTTGTCTCCGGCTAGACGCTGCGACCCATGGATGTGGCAGATCTGATGCAGGGCCCTCCCGATCCCAAGGCTGTGACGATCACGGGACACTGCGGGAGGCACAGCCTTTGTTTGCAAAACACCTGGCAGCTGGGCCTGAGTTTTCCTTGTGCACACCTGCATGCATGCTTTTTAAAAAACAAAGCTTTTGGCCATTCCCATTCAGCTCACTGGCCCCTCGCAATACAGTGAATAAAAAAAAATTGTTGCCAAACAATGAACCATAACAATAGAATTGAGTCTTGAGAAAATTGAAAATTGGGGAGAATAATTTGAGAGTGCCCAGAAGACATTAATTAGTGCTGTACTTTCACAGATTCTACAATACTATTCTGAACCTCACCCAAACGAGATCACTTGCCTTGAGGTCGGGTGGCGTTCTTACGTGGGCTCCATAAATCTCAGCTGGCGTTACCTGGTGCTGTGAGTGATTAAGATCACTGGCTGACGGAATCTGCACTGGAAACAGACGTGTTAATTAGACTAATTCATTCACTGGAGTAATTAATTACCCAACACTTATCTAATTAGCTAACACTTTCACCTGTCAAAGCTAGAGGTAAATGCCAAATTGGAATTTGGTGGTCTTCCCCATTTTACCCTAAAAATAAATTGAACATATGGCTTGGATTACCAGATAAAAGTGTGCAGGTCCTGGTTGCTGTCAGTGGGTATGTTGAGTCTCAAAACTGCCTGTGGTTGCTGGGAAAGACAGCAGGTAGACCAGCCTAAGGTGGATCATGAGGGAAGAGACACATGTATCGTTATTAACCATCAATAGGAATGACTGCCTCAACTTAGAAGGGCAACAACACACGTGTTCAGGAGTATTTTGCATCGTAGTTGTCATTACCTTTTCCAAGATAAGTATTTTTGGGGATTTTCGGATATCTTGGGCAAAGTTACAAACACATAGTTGGTGGTCGCAGTAGCAAGATTTAGGCTACCTTGATTTCTCAACACAGAGTTCCCTACTCTTTTTTCTTCCCATTCTATAAACTTTGCAGGCTGGCCACAACGGGCCATAGGATGCCAACATGGAATTCAAAGAATTTGCCTAGGATGACTATCAGCAGGAAAAGGAGCATCTTCTGTTTTGGAGACCCCCCCCCCTTAAGATATGAATATTTGATTCTCAACTGTTACGCACATTCTTAAAGAGAAATTCAAGTCCATTATGAAATGCCTTGTATCTGCTGCCCGTTTGGCATTTATAAACATTTTACATTCGGATTTACTTGAAATCCAGGAGACTAATGTTCTTGAAACTCTCACCAGCATGGAACTTCAGCTGGTTACCGTAGAGCAGAGGGAAAAAAGGATCAGGATGAAGTTTCTCTAAAATCTTCTAGATTTTACCTCCCAGACTGGCACAGTGGCTCAGGTCGGTAATCCCAGCTACTTGGGGGCTGAGGCAGGAGGATGCCTTGAGCCCAGGAGTTCAAGGCTGCAGTGAGCTATGATCACTTTGTCTCTAAAAAATTTCCCTCCCCAAAGTGAAAAGTGAGAAGCGTTAGCAGAAGTAGTGAATTTGGATTTCTTAGCAGAGAATCTCTTTTCTGAAGACATTAGGCTACATTTTGTTATTCTATCCGGATTCACACCTGGTTCAATGCATTTTACAGGCAGCCTAAGGTTTAACTAATGGAAGAGGCCCTAGGAGACAAGTTTTTTTAATTATCAGTCCTTTTGTGTGAACTTGAATGGGTAAAATTCAGAATAACGGGCATTCTGAGGTCCTGATTTTGGGTATTTTCCTAACCTGTGATCTCAAAGAATGAAAACAAGTTGTGAGGGGTAGGGTAGGGATGGGAAAATGAAGTGTTTGAGAACTGAAAGTTCTCACGTGTACTGGACATATTTTTGAAACAATTTTTGGATTGCTATGGAAACCAAAAGAGGACTTGTATCCATATACAATTGTCTCAAAGCAAATAAGTCTGTTTATAACATCAGACCACACTGGGATCAAGGTCAGATGTAAAGAAAAGGTGCTCTGGTCACCAGTTAACAAGCTAACCAACCTGGTCAAAGAGAGAAGCTGCCACACCTTGAAAAGAGATCCTATTTCTTGGGGAAGTGCTGCTCTAAGAGCTGGGGCATATTATAAAAGGCCATGTTGAGGAGGGTATTTTTGATTTAATAAGAGTTTAAAATGCTAAAGGAAAAGTTCTATTAGCAATTTCAAAAGAAAACATAAGTTTTACATGAGGGTTTCATTCTAACTTGGAACTAAGCTATTATGATAAGATCTATAATTGAATAGTGAATCACAATATTTCCCTTTCCTGACATCAACTTAACAGTGACTATCCACACAGGACAAAGGATGGCTTCGGCTTTACCTGCCTCCAATACATCCATGAGATCTGACAGGAATACATATGTTGGGTGAGTAATTTTGATTTTTTTATTTGTTCTGATCAGACAGATGTTCCTTGGATTTTATAAGAAATGATTAGATGATGGGCCTCTACGGCTATGCAAATTTCTTAAATTTAGAGATTATCTGGTTGAAATACAGCTCATGATATAAAACAAAATAAAAACAATGCAAATTTTCTTTGTAATGATATTTTTGTTCCTTGGTTTTTGGGGACAGGGAGTTGGCTCATCTCAGAAATTGTGGCAAAAGAAGTCACAAAAGACATGCAAAAACCAACCTTGAGAAATAAACAAATTCAAAGTTCAAGGTGGGATTCACTGTATAGTTCAGCCTTTAATTCCAGGACCATGGGCTGTTTCTGAGAAATAATTACAGGGCCTTCCCAGGGCCTAAGGGAAATTTGACTGTGTTGCAGCATATTATGGAGTGATTTCATATGCTTTATGATGGACTTTACATAGAATTTACTTCTAAAATACTGGAATGTTATTCATCCCAGGGGTAGACATTAATCTGCCAAAGCTACCTGCAAATCTAGCTGCAATTCCTGCCCTAGGTTAACAGAACATAATAGAGCATTAATCTTCATGAGGCTTAAGGAATTTTTGTGAGTTCCCTCTGATTTGTTGAGAGTTGTGTTTCATGTCTTTCTTCCAGCCTCAATCATGTCAGCATTTCAGAAACATTTCACTTACCCATCCCAAACAGAGGTAGCCTCCTGCCATGTTCACTTCTTCAGGGAACCCAAGGAAAGAGAGAAAAGAAAAAAATTATGAAAATGAAGGTCATGGTATATGGAAAGACTTCTTCCCAGCCAGCACTTTTCTTTGGTTATCAATGTTTAATATTGACCATGCTAAGTAATTTGTCATGATTTGCTAAAAGACTTTATTCCATGTGTTAGGAAAAGGAAAGGAAGTACAAAAAAAAAAAGTTTGAGGAGAAAACAGTACCTTCCAGCCTATTTAGTAAAAATTGTATATTTTATTTTATTTTTATTTTATTTTATTTTTTTACTCGAACCAAAATTGTATATTTTAGAAAGATCAAAGTGGTGCAATAGTCATATTCATATTAGGTTGAATTTGGCATGAAATCCCAAACAACCTTACCCTTTGGTCACTGATAGAGTAGTCATCTTAGAAGTGCTTCTTGATGAGCTTAATGGGACCAAAATATTCTACAGACATGCTCTCAAATTTTCTAAGAGATCACCAGACATGGGGACAGACCATCAGGGAAAACGAAAGAATATCTTCTAATGAATTAATAAGAGTATTATAATTAATACAAGAGAATATAATTAATGGCTATGCTGGTTTGAGAATTTCTTCTTGAAGATAGGAAAGGTGGAATAGATTAGTGATTTTAAAAACACCAAGGCCTAGGCCTCCCTGACTAACTCAATCAGAATTTCTAGAGATAGGGTCCAGTTATCAGTACTCTTTAAAGCCCTCTGGTGACTCTGATATGTAGCTAGAGTTTAGAATCTCTAGGGTAGACAAATGCAACTCTTTTATAGAGTTCTGATTCACAGATTCGGTTGGGAATCGAAAGGAAAATCTCAGATCACTTTGTCTTGGCAGAGTGAAACAGAAACTGCAGTAGAATTCAGGAGGATAAAGTGGATGGCAGTGTTTCTCAAACTTTAATGTGCTTGTGAATCACACAGAGTTAAAATGCAGATTTTGATTCAGTAGGATTAGGGTGGAACCTAGGATTTTGCATTTCTAACAAGCTCACCCCTGCAAACTCCTGTTGCTGATGCTGGCTGGTTCATTGACCACACTTTGCATAAAAAGCAACCATAGGTAAGTGTCCTCTTGCCTCTCACAAGAGAAGCCAGGAGGTGTCCTTTTGCTATGAGGTTTTGAGGCTTGTTCTGAAGTAGTAAAGTATACTAACACCATGGAATACTTTATATTTGAAACCAGGTATGACTTAATCACTAATTAAGAATCTGTTACTCTAAATATTTTTGAAGAGGAAATTACTAGCATTCTGTTCCACGTTCTGAACAATTAAATTTAATTCAATTTTTAAGACTTAGGGACTAAAGGATGTATAAGAAGAACACTTGCATCAGGAAATTCACAGTCTTTCTCCGGAGACAAAAAATTAATTATATTACAATGTGAAATACTATCTATCACCATTAGCATGAAACAAATGCTTCCATAGTGCACCGAGGACAAAAGTTAATACTGACCAAGGAGAGAAGATGCTTGAAAAAGCCTTTCGGGAAGAGGTGATATTTTGTTTGGACTCTGAAGAATGAGTAGGATTTTGATCGGTGAGTAATGGTAGGGAAGGGGGAAGGGTGTTTGAGAAGTAAAGGCTGAAGGAGGGGTTCCCAACTTTGACTACACGTCAGATCATCTGGAAAGATTTTAAAAATACTTTCAGGAAGTCGAAATTAATTGGCACCCAGTCATCGGTGTTTTTTCAAAAGTTCCCTGGTGATTCTAATGCATAAGCAGGTTGAGAGTCCATGGAGATACAGAAAGATGCACAGCTTGTAAAGATGTTTTGAGGCATGTGGATAGAAATGTATATGGGGGACAATGGGAGGAACAAAGAGCAAAGGAGTCCCAGGTAGCTCTTGGCAAAGATGTCTTGACCCACTATGTTGTGGGGTAGATAATTTGTTATCACTAATAATTAAAGTGGTATGAAATTATTACCAAAATAACCAAATGCTATGGACGATGTGCTTCATAAATATGAATTAGATTGAATTAAGGTCATTCCTGTAGCAGCAGTCAGCTAACTGTCTTGCATTGCATGTATGTTACTGAGAGACAGGATGGACTAGTAGTGTAGCTAGTGTTGCTTTGATGGGGCCAGGGCAGCAGCTGCTGGGGTGGAAAGGAGGTGTATTCAGCATGATTGGTGGAGTCCTCGATGGCAGCACTACTTAAACTGTGGTCCTCAGACCGGCAACATCAGCACCAATGAGGAGCTTGTGACAAATGCAAATTCTGACATACACCCCTCAACTGAGTTAGGATTTCTGCTGAGTCAGGATTTCTGAAAGAGGAGCCCATGAAGTGTCCAGGAGATTCTTATGCATGCTGAACTTTGGAAAGCACTGGTCTGCAGAGTTGAAAGAGACCACTGGACTCATAGATTACATACACATATACACCCAACACAGACGTACGCAAATCCCCGTGGAAAGTGGGGAAGGAAACAAAGTGAGCAGAGAGGTGGAGATGGCAGTGAGAAATGTCCCCTTGGGGGGTATATACGATTGCCGTGGGAGTGTAAGGCTGCCTGCCTGGGCAGGACACAATGCTGGCGCAGGACGGGGAGGAGGAGGACTGGCAGCCGTGGCATTACTCTAGTGGATGATGTGGGACAGGCTGTGACCGGGATGCCATACCCGGGGTTAGTGGAGTGAACAGGTAGCCACTGAACCACACTGGGTGTGGGGCGCTGGGCTGCCACCCAGGATGGCTCTAAGGCCTTCCGCAGTCGTCCTTTCTCTGTGGCGAGCTTGTCTTTGTATTGGCTCCTGAGTACTCTCTCCCACATTTTCTTCTGACATCTGGTGGGGGAAACCACCAAGCAGACTTTCTACGGCGACTGTCCTGCTTCTTAGCTTCTGTTTTCAAGTTTCATTTGCCTTCATAGAACAGTTTTGTATTCTGTGGTTTCACCTGTTTACTAGCATTAGATCTGTTACTTCATCTCCCTTTTCTCCAAGCTCTTTTGCCTCTCTTCTTTGTCATGCTTTTCCTTGAGTGTTCCTTTTCCCGATAAGCTCTGAATCCTATTCTCCAGAACTATGTGCCATTCACTCTTTCTTTGCCTATATTATATCATATCACACCATATCCAAATTCCATCTCTCCAGATTTCTATTCACCTCTCTGCTGCCACCCCATCATCCTGCTATGTTTACTTCTCACTTGAAAGAAAGAAGATGACCGTGAGGTTCAGACAGAACTGAATAGAAACGACTATTTTGTAATCTACTGGTTGTATAATCTCACACAAGTCTCTCAACTTCTGTGAGCCTTGGCATCTTCATTTGTCCATCAAACTATGAATATTAACCAGCTAACAGAGTGGTTATGGGATTAAGTGAGTTAATGTATTTATTATATGCAGTTTTCATGCCATCGTGCAGTTTCCATGCTTAGCGTTTTGCCTGGCACATGGTAAGTGTACAGCAAATGTTAGCCATCATTATTGTCATTATTATGCCACATCGCTTCTCAACAGATCACTGAACCTTAAGAAGGTTTGTGTCCAGTATTTGAGCTAGCAGTATTCATGGGTGTAGACTGATATCCTTTCATTTCTGTGGGCTTTCTTCCCAAATTCCTTTACATCCTCTTTATGTGTTTTTCTTTTTTTCCCAGAAAAAGGTTTTTTCATGTTAAAAATCCTCACTTGGATTCTATGAATGAAGATTCTCTATCACTTGGATTTGGGAACAAAACAGACAACTTAACCAGCAATGTTTGGAGTCATAAAAGTAAAAATATTTCTAATTTCAGAAAAAGTGATTGAGTTTTCTCTATTAATTTTTTTCTTACTTTCCCAAAATAAACTTTACATATTTGGCTAGGAAATGTCAGAGGTCCCAATAGGAACTGAAGCCACGCTCATTCTCTGAAACAATTTAGAATGTGTACAGCATAAACAATCATTTCTACCTCAACAAGACATAAAGGTTCCCAAACTAAATCTCGTGCAAACATGATTATTTGGCTGCTCTGGTCCCTGGGGATATATATAATTTTATTGACAGTACTGCTAGGTGTTCAGAATTCATTATGTTTTAATAGATTTAGTCCTCTATTTAACTATATTTATAGCTGAATTCAGTAATTTTCATTTTATTAAATCATAAAATAATTAAACTAACAATACAATATTATTCCACTCCTTAAAAATAACTATTATCTGATATTTCATGTCATTAAGAATTTTGTTTCATAAGAAATATTTCATAAGAAAATTGTATGGAGTACTGCCAGGAAAGTTGTACTTCTGCATCATTTATTTTATCTTATGTATATATTAATTATAAAAACAGTTTGTATTCATTATTTAAAATTGGGAAAATATAAAAAAGAACATGATTTTTTAAAAACACCCCATAGTCCCACCACCTAAACATAGACACCATCAACCCATTTTTTCTTCCAATATTTTCAATGATAGATTTTAAAATAGTTGCAATTATATAACTTTGCATTCTACATTTTTTCACTTAACTGTATGTCATTCATATTTCTCCATATTATTACATTTTCTTTGAAACACATTATTTATGGATATCAAGTGGCTGTGCCACACAATGCATAGACTATTCTTGACTTTTATATTAAAGTAGTTTCCATTATAAATAAGATTCAAATGATTATTTTTATACCTAAAGATTTTTTTACATTTAAGTCAATTTGCTTAGGATGATTTGAAGAAATAATCAAAGGGAATGAACTTTTAAAGAGTGTTTGTTTTCCAAAAGGCCTATATCTATTTACAGTTCCAGCAGTGGAGAGCAGTTTTCATGTGACTTTTTTCATTTCTTAAACAATTACAAGAACAAAAAGAAAAGCTTTCACATCTACTATCTTGCTAAATCTTCACATAAGCTCTTGTAGGTGGGTCACACAGATATTAACATCCTGTGTAAAACAAAGAAACTGTAGTCAGAGAGGTCAAAGAAGGTTAAAGTTATGCCATAAAGTGGCAAAGCTGAGACTTGGACCAACTTCTTCCAAATCCAGTTTCTACGGTTCTTGCCCACTGCACTAGGTGAACCGTTTGAGTCACAGTAACTCAGAATAGCCCATAATTATTTAATCCCAGCTCTTTTACTTACCCAGTGTGTGAAGAGGAGGGTGAAGGAAGGGGAGGAGGAAGTTAAAAAGAAGGAGGAGGAAGGACAGTGGGGGAAGAAGCAGGAAAAGGATGGGAGGAGGGAAGGAAGGAGAGAGGGAAGGAAGGAAGGGAGGGAGGGAGGAAGGAAGGGAGGGAGGGAGGAAAAAAGAGAAGAAACAGATCTATGATGTTCATTATCAGTAGGTGCTAAATTGCCTCCTACAACTCCCTCCTGGGACGTCAGGCTTGAGGGTGTGGGGGATTTCCTGGCAGTGTGAAGACTCACCCTTTCCCCACCCCTGCCTGCCTCTGCTCCTTGCCTTTGTGTGGCCTCCTCCACCTTTTGTTTCGCCTTCTCAAAGTAACCTCTCTCCCTACTGCTGTTTATGTTCCAGGAGTCACAGGTGAAGGCTGCCTTTGATACTCATGAATCAGATTTTGGCTGAATTCAAATGTGAGGTTTGACATTAATATCTCACAATGATTTTCCCGGGACAACTCTGACTAACTAAAAGACTCATCATAATTAATAAACTAAGGCACACAGCTAGTTAATAAATTGAACAGATTTAGGGCATGTATTTGAGACAGAAAGTGACCTGCTAGCTACACTTCTAGTTATCTGACTCCTCTGCCATTTATGGGGTGCTTTCTGTATATCACACTCCGTACGCCATGTGCACAGGGTATTCACATGCATTCCCCACAGCAGCTAAGGGGTTAGTTATCATCTCCATGATTTTATAAATGAGGGAACGAGGCTCAAACATAAGTTTAGTGTTGTAACACAAATAGACTGTATATGTATTTGTCTGTAATAGGCACAGCACGGCTGGTAAGTAAAAGAGCAGAGATTAAACCTTAGGCTTGTCTAATGAAAAATGTAATGGCTCTTCCTCTATTCAAAAAACAAAGCCAAAAACAACACTACATTTTGGTACTCCAAATGTTAGTTTCCGGGAAATTTCTGGGATGGAAGGCTTTGTTTTAGAGAGGAAAATAAGGGGACTCGCATGTCTCTCTCTGTCACACACACACACACACACACACACACACACACACACACACACACACACACATTGTCTCATTGCTTTTACAATCCCGGGCTGTCACCTCTCTGCCTGACAGGATTTTCGTCAGCACTTACTCTCATACACTGTCATAACCACTATCCAACCTTATAAACCTATTACCCACCTGGTTGTGGAACCCTCAGTGGATTCTCTTTTGGATAAAAAGATTGGTCTGTTCAGAATCTGCTTTGTCCCACCAGGGAGCAACTCTACCGATAGAACCATTTTGTTGGAAAGGAGGCGAAAGCGTGTGCTCATGCGTGTGCTCATGCGTGTGCTCATGCGTGTGCTCATGCGTGTGCTCATGCGTGTGCGCGCGTAGGCTGAGGAGCAGGTGATGTAGTTCCAAATGATCACAACTGGCCATTTAACCTGAACCAGAATTTTTTAGAGGCAGCAGGTAAAGTCTGATTTAGTTTCACATATGATTTTCTCAGAAACTTGCCTTCCTCTGGCCAGATTCTTATCTTTGAATGAGAATATTCTATGTTCAGTTTCTTCACAGAGGTGATAAGCATTGTCAATAGTCTTATCTTCAAAGGAAAAGAGAACTCTGTGTGTGCAAAGTTTAACCCTTTGACTCCGACAGTCACTCCTATTTCCTGTGTATCCTCACTTACTGTATTTTTGAAGATTTTCCTAGCTGCCACTGCAAAATCTCAGTGGCTTAACACAATGTAAGTTTACTTCTCACTCGCACTAAGCACAAAGTGGATGTTCTTAGTTGATGGATGACTTTCCTCCAACTGGTTGTGTAAGGACCCAGGCTCCTTCCACTTTGTTGCTCTGTCATCTTCAAGGAGTGACTTGCTAAGTTTCCCTGTGTGCAAACACCCATCTAAGAGAAGGAAGTAGATGATATGTAGGATCACCAACAGATCCTTCTTGTAGAATGGGAGATGTCTATGGGCTAGGACTGGGAGTGATACCCAGCCCTTCTGCTCACAATCTAGTAGCTGGAACCATCTATGGCCTCATCCTACTGGAAGGGAGGCTGAGAAGTTAAGTTCAGCTGTATGCCCAGAAAGAAAAGCAAATAGTTTAGATGCACAGCTAATGAATCTCTGCCATACCCACTGGACAGAATCAGACAATTCAAAATATGGTGGAGGATCTTTAGAAGTTATCTATTCCAACACAACATCCAAGTATGTCTTTTATAAAATCATTAACTGATGCCCTCCAATCTCTCTCTAGAAATTTCAAATAACATGGAAAAATCATTGCTTTATAAGTAAGACTCTGGGTAATATGGCGCATTTTGAAGATGTTTATACTTTTTTGTTAGCATATAAACTACAGAAAATGCAATAGGACCAGATTAATATAACATGGCAAAGGTAAGTCTTTTAAGATACTAGGGGCATTTGAAAATGTGTTTGTTCTGGCAGTCACTAGACAAAGTCCTTAACGTGTTTTTGTAATGCCTCTGACTCCTTCCCAGTGCACTTCTAACTTCTTTGGTAAAACCAGGACAAATGATTATTTTGTTTGGGAAATACATCATAGCAAATGTCACTTAAGGTCAATGTTGGTTGGTGGTCTTCAGCCACATTTTGCTACTCATTAGAGCAGCCAGACTGAAATTGTGTCTAGAGATGATGTTTAGTAAGTCTGATTTAAGAGTAAGGCTTCAAAAACTAAGCTGCATCTGTCTGTGCATATCATCTTTATGTCTCCAGAAATATTCAGAAATTCCTGTTGCTTACAGCAATATCTACAGTTCAAAGAAGAATTCAAACCACAAGTTATTCTAACATCTGTTTTGGTTTTATGGTCAATCTGAATACTTGTAATTTACATTCACTGGCACCACACACTGAGGTTATTTTCAAACTACTGTATTTTGTTTAAAAAAAGAAAGGTCTTCTTGTACTTAGATCTTGAGCCAAGTCTTAACTATCCATACCAGCAGAGAAGAAAATTCCATGAATAATCAATAATAATTTAAAAACTCACCTGAAGCCATGGTCTTACCCTCGTTGCCACCCAACCTTTGTGGCTGACTTCCATGGCAGGTCACTGCTAACATAAGGCCCCATCAGAGAAACTCAACAGAATGCAAAGAAAAGACAATAATAAGGGTAGAAGAGAAGCAGAGGGCCTGGATAAAGGGATAATTACATCCCATAATTGGGAATGAGTGCAGTGCAGGAGTTATTGCTGAATGAAAACAGAATGCATCATGTAATCAGACCACCCAACAGTTATAGCACATCATTTGTGGATGGGAGCACCTACTCTACAACCTCAGCTAGGTACTTCCTCAGAGAGATATTCCTTCTCCCTATGGCGACCTCCCCAGCCATCCAGATCCTCTGCTCGATGCTGTGCACATCAGCCAGGTACCACTCTTTTCCCACTAGACGACTCAAACCAGCTTTATTTGTACCCAATTCTGCAATATAGGCACAAAAACCAAGCTCCAAAAGCAGCGCCAAGAAATTGCTGCATGATATGAGAACTAATAGGTACCATTTGCAGAACACTGAGAAGGTGCCTGGACTTGTGCAATGTCCTTTGCCACGTGCAATCCCATTTTCTCCTTGCAAAACCCTCTGCTGTGTTTTTCCTATTTTGCAGATGGTCTGAGGCACATAGATTACGTGTTTGACACTGAGCAAGTTACTTGATTGGCAATGGGGTTGGGGTTCAAAGCCAGGTTTACCTAACCTCAAAGGGCGGGCTTTCTCTGTTTCAGAGCTTCTTCACACTTTGTGCACCTCGCCGCTGAGCTCAGAGTCCCGGAGCACTTGGCGCTTTCTGTGGGCTGTGCTTTCTCCCGGGCCTGAGTATCAGCAGCTGCTGGTCCTCTCGCGTGGACCCTGGCCCCACTGTGCTCCTCTCTTTGGCACCCACCTTCCCATCCCTTGTCCCTGGGGCTCACGTAGTCCTAACAAGCCGTTGCACAAGCAACCACCAGGCAATTTTATTACCATCTGTTATTAGATTTGACACCTCTGACTGTAACGACTTATCCTAATTTCAGAGATGTGAAAATGTGAAGAAGACAAAAACAAAATCACTGGAATTGATGAAATAGTGCAGTGAGATTCCAAATGTACAATAAGAAGGCTTGCTCCATGCGGTTTTTATGTGAATGGAAAGTTGAAAAGTCCTTAAAGCTTTAAGTTAACATGGTACATTTTACAATAAAAACTTAGGATTGGGGATGCAGAATCAGAAAACACATCTAAAACTGGTAGCTCTCCTTTTGCTCTCACATTACGTATATTCCATGGCCTCGGTACTTATATCCTTAGCATAAATCATATTAATGCCCAACACTAGGCTGTCTATGTCAACTTAAGATGCTGGCTGGTGTTCATCATAAACAAAGACACCAGGAAATACCTCCTTGAACAATATCAACACTCACTTTGATTTCGTGCTTTTCTTTACTAATTTGGTACCTAAAACTTCATATCTGGTTGCCTTATTTACAAGTTAATGATGCAAATTAGCTAATTCATGAACATAACCTATGACATCTATACACACTTAAGTGCATTAACTAAAAATTAAAATGAAAACATTGGAGTTGAAAGCTGACCCTTGATTCTTATCTCAGTTTCTATGGCAGGTACTTGTTTGTTTTTATTAACAGTTTACCTGCCTCGGTGGGAGCTCCAACCAAACGAAAGCATTTGCACTGTTTATGCATGAGGAGCTTGGATTGGAGGAAGGTGGAGAAGACATAAAAGATATCTGTGCTGGGACAGACAGACATTGTATGTACAAACCAGGCCTGTACTCTCCACCAGTGTAAGTTTTCAGTGGTTGCATTTCAGCTGGTCTTCTCAGACTAGAGAAAGAAGTAAAACTTCTGAGTATAGGAGTTCTTTGCTCTTCCTGCTTTGCGTTCTCACACAATTAAACTAAGTGTCCAGGTATGACGTTCAATATTGGAAAAAGCCCTCAGGGCAGAATGTAGCTTGCAGTGTCATTTTGATTTATTAGTTACCACTTAATAATAACTACTCAAGGTAGGAGGAAAATCCTCAAAGCACATGCCCTCTCTCTTTACTTTGTACTTGATTAACAAACTAAAAACTGCCCCACAGTTTCCTCTCCTCTATCCCTTATCCAGCTTTGAGAACGTTGAGCTTTTAGTACACAAGGGCCAATTTTCAGGATTGCTAAACCAGTGCTGTTTAACACTATAATAAGCTTGCTGAGAAGCTGCTAATAATGTATTTCCACGGAGCTGTTGTGAATTGCTCTCCTGAATTTAGAATATGTTAGCAGTTATGGACACACACAGGGCCCTAAGACAAAATGAGAGTGGAATGATTTGCAGTTTTGGGGACTGCAAATGATTTGCAGTTTTGGGGATTTGCAGTTTTGGACTCCGTGTGGTGTGCACTTACGAGGGTGTATGTGCATGGCTACCCAGTGTGCCTTCCTAAGCCCGCCCCTCTGCACAGCACTGTGTTCTGATGCAGCGACTCTGAGTCCGTCACATATCTGGACACTGCAGCCCTCAGGAGGGGCACAGGTAGGCATGCGGGGGGCGGGGTAGGGTCTCCTACAGAGGAGCAACAATTCTTAGGAGCCGAGCTTATGTAGCTCCTACAGCAGGGAGCAGGCACGTCCATTGATCACCCTGCAGTACCTACCTGGTGATGGAGTGTGGATGATCGTGGCCGAAAGCCTGAGGCAAGGAAGGGAAAATCTAAATTGATTTCCTCTCTGGGCCAAGAGTGCTTGAAGCCTACTCCAATGAAAGAATTCATTCATTTATTCGTTTCTTCATTCAATAAGTCATTAGGGAATAATCTGTATTAGAAGGGAGCTGGATATCCTCCAATCCTGGCAAACCTTTTCTCACTAACATTTGCTGAACTTTTAGACTATAGCTGTTTGTCCTTTTTTGCACAGTAAATGGGGAAGGACAAAGAGATGAGGTGTGTAAAAATGTGAAACTACCATGAATAAGCAGTAAAACTTCAGAGTAAGACAGAAAAACAGCAGTAGACTGATCCTGCTGTCCTTTTGGGGGAAAGACCTGAAATATGGATCATGCCAAGGTCAACCAGTTAGAAATGGCCCTTACTAGGCAGGCAGGGCCAGCTGGGATCCTTTCTGTGAAAATTCTCTCTTTCCAATAGCTGCTGAGGGGTGTGAGTGAGTGTGTGTGTGTGAGAGAGAGAGAGCGTGACTGAAAAGGTGAGAGCACAAGGCCATCTGACATTTTATCACCATGTCACATAATAAGTGATAATCATAAACTTATACCAAATATGATTTAGAAGGAATCTAATAGATCAAATAATAATTCATCCTCTTAATTTATAGTTGAGGAAAACGATACTCAGAGAGTTTATTCATTAGTCATAGAGTCCGTGCCAAAGCCCTAGACCTGTAAATCTTGAACATACAAATCAATACAGGTTGGATTCCTGGCTCCAGGAGGCTTGCAAAGCATTTAGATGCCACGGCATATTTAATACGAACAAAAATGGGGAAGCCAGAGGTTCAAATTAGTTTCGTGTTCTTGAGGGTGAGAGGGAGGGAACTCAGGTGAAAACGTGGTCACAGCTCCAGTGGTTTTCCAAAGTCTTTGTGTCCAAGAGTGGAATACATCAAGGACCACATTTGACGGTCTCTGCTGTTACGTCAGAAATGAAGTCGCCCCAGATTTTGAACTCAGTTCCAGTTTCTACAAATTACAGCCTGGAGGATCTTTCTGGAGAGTTATTATTAATGGAACAGCCCACCCACCAGGAGTCACTGACCCCTCCAGCCTGTGTTGACCCCTCCTCTGGTGACAACGAGTCTGCTGTTCTCACTGCTGCAGCAAACCAGGGCTGTGGTCACAACAGCCTGCAGCAACTTAAACTCACCTACACGTTCCGGAGAGGCGTCAAATCGTCAGGCGTGACCTCACGCGCATTTCTACCCTGGCACCTTTCCGAGCAATCCCAGAATCGGCAGCAAGTGAAATGGAGTCACTATTGCATTAAGTACGGCGGGAAAGGACTGGTGGCATGGCAGCCAAAATTATATTTCCTGGAATCAGGTCACTCTTGCCAACAGCCCTGCTTCAAAGGTTCATCATGGTAAAGAGCCGGGTGGAGAGAGGAGGAGCGGCACTGCCCCAACAGACCAGCACAGCGCCGTCCACACCTTCTGCCGGTGACCGTGACCGTGAGGGCAGAAGTCAGCAGCACCGGCGACGGGCGGACGCCTCCCGCTGATCCTCACAGATGGACACATCCATCAGCGTGTCCCCGCGGCCTCAGTTAGGGGTGACTTACGTCCTCCCCAGCATTGGCGAAGTCTTAATGACTATGTAATGTATCTGAGGGCTGTTAACTTGTAACGGAGGAAGAGAATATGTCCCATTCACGTGTCGGGTTGCAAGACGGATGATGACTTTCTCTCTCTCCCAACAGCATGGCACCGGCAGCCCCTCCCTTCCTACGTCACGAACTCGTCACGCCTCACGGTGCTGTGACGCCACCATGGTCAGAATGGGTACCTCAGGGGGAATCGGCGAGATGGCTTGATTGCTGCCATGAGAACTTCCTTGCCGGCATGGTAGCTGCCAAAATACACCAGCAAAAAACCCAGCACACTCGGAGCCAAGCAGATACACAGATGGACTAAAAAAAAAACAATGTCAGGACTTGAGGAGATTTGAGGAAATCTACCCACGTTGCATTTTTCTTTTCTTCTTCATTTTTTCTTCATGGAAACCTGGCAGGAGGGACCCCACTGCCCAGTGCCAAGTGGTCTCAGGTGTTTATAAGGGGGAAGAGTGGAAGAATGGCTAGAAAACACATTTTGAGGGTAAAGGTAAGTTTCAAGGCTTAGGAATTTTGTGACAGAAATGTGTGTGCAAATAAAAAAATAATCACAGAGATTTGCTATTTTTATCAGCTAAGCAAGCAGACTGCATAGCTCTTAGGAAAATGTTGCTTTTAACTCACATCAGCTACCACAGCTCTTTTCTTGGCTGTCTCTTTCTCATCAGCATGGCAGAAAGAGACCAGGCTAGGCTTTTAGGGAAGGTCAAGTGATGCTTCCTAAGGTTTTTCCCAGAGCCTCCCTACCTCCCTTCTTCCTCTGCTGGCCAGGCAGCTATAAAGGGCCTAGGTTTTGCTTCCAGAATGTGCTGAGGTGAAGTTTCTTGTTTTTTGGGTTTTTTTTTGAGACAGAGTCTCGCTTTGTTGCCCAGGCTAGAGTGAGTGCTGTGGCGTCAGCCTAGCTCACAGCAACCTCAAACTCCTGGGCTCAAGTAATCCTGCTGCTTCAGCCTCCCTAGTAGCTGGGACTACAGGCATGCGCCACCATGCCCAGCTCATTTTTTTCTATATATTTTTAGTTAGCCAATCAATTTCTTTCTATTTTATAGTAGAGATGGAGTCTCGCTCTTGCTCAGGCTGATCTCGAACTCCTGAGCTCAAACAATCTGCCCACCTAGGCCTCCCAGAGTGCTAGGATTATAGGCATGAGCCACCTCACCCGGCCCTGAGGTGAAGTTTTGAGGCAACCTCTCCTTCGGCCTTTTCTCAAGGGGCAGATCTTGTCAGGGCATGATTTTACCATATCAAATGCAATTAAGACTGGGCATTGTACATGGAAAAGTTTGGTTGGCAGTGTGAAAGAACTGAATGGGCATTACAAAAAGGGCTGAGATTCTGGAAGAGAAATGGTCTTAGAACTACACATTTTTGGAGCAAGAAGGGACTTTGGAAATCCTCAAAGATCTAGAGGAATGGGATGTTCGGTATCATGGAGCCGCAGCTAGCTGAGCCACGCTTCGCCAGGCTCAGACATGTTTGAAAAGACTATGGCCTCTCTGCAGCTATGGTCCAGGAATAAAGTCCAGCCAAGACCCTCACACATGGAAGAAAAAAGCACATTTGTGGATGTCCATCCAGAGAGAGGAGGGGAACATTAGCAGTCAGGATTAGATCAGGCATCCTTCCACTGTAGTTTATCCAACAATACCCCCCAAAAAATCAATAGCAGGGATCAGTGTAATTGGGGATGAAATAGATAACATTGTTATTAAGGTTGCTCGTGATTCTTGGGTTGTGGGATACAAGGACCTGTCTCCATAGCCCACTCATGCTTTGCAGATCATGTGGTTTCTGTTGCAACTTCTCAACCCTGCCACTATAGCTTGGAAGCAGCTATGGGCAGTATGTAAATGAACATATGAGTGGCTGTGTTCCAATAAAACTTTATTTACAAAGACAAGTGGGATTTGGCTTATGGACTATAGTTTGCAGACCTATGTTCTATGTCAGCTCTATAGAATCATTCACTCATTCAACAAATTTTTATTGAATACCTATAATCAATGTGGCAGGTACAGTGCTAGACTGGGAGAGAGCAATGGACATTGTTCTTGCCTTTACAGAGCTTATGTTCTGTCAGAGAAATAGGTAAACAAATAGGATAATTATAAAAAGTGTGGAGAATGTTAGGACACAGAGAGTGTAGGGCACTATCATCTTATATCTTCTTATTCAGCCTCTACATAGACCGGGTTAAAAGCTAGGTCAGGCTGGGTTAAAAGCTAGGTCAAAGCTGGACTTGGGAAAATTTAATGTAATCCATTTGTGTTGCCTTTTAACTTTTTTTTCCAGAATATTATGGGGCTAAAAAAATTTTGGTTACATATAATGGGTTTGCCTTGCCCAAGCCAGGGCTAGAAGTACACCCTTCCCCGATAGAGTGCACCCCACATCCATTAGTTGTGAGTTTACCCACCCTCACCACGCCCATCCCATCTGATCAGTACCCAGTGAATATTACTACTATGTGAGCACCTTAGTGTCGATCATTTAGTACTAAATTGATGGCGAGTGCATGTGGTACTTGTTTTTTCCATTCTTGTGATACCTCACTTCTTTGGAACAGGACTGAGAACCCAGATATAAAACCGTCCTCACATTATCATCTAATCTTCAATAAGGCAGACAAAAATATGCCTTTTAACTTTTCCATTTGTTTGTTTCCCCTCCGTGTGTTCAGGTGGGGGGCAGGGAGATGAGTGGGATCCCAGGCAGGGAGGATGACAGCTGGCAGAAAATGGTGTCTTGAGTAAGCCCCAGTCCCTTGAGAAGCCAGACTTTGTAGCAACCGGAGGGTCAGCCAAGAGGCCTAATTTACATGGAGTCAGGGAGGGGAGGGAACGAATGTGACAAGAATCAGAAGAAAAAGCAGATAGAGATGCAAAGAAATTATAGTAATCAAGGAGTTGCAGAGAAGATTAAATATTAAGAAGTCACGTCACTTTATGAAAGCTACTTGCTGGCAGGCTCATTTAGTTTATTCCTGACCTAATTTATTCAAATTCAAGCCCCGAAGGCTGGCACTAATTTGCATGCCCAAGAATCATGTTTGTCTTGAAATTTAAACCCCATCATATTGTAAATGTGAATCTGGAAAGACAACAAATGTAAATGCCTGTTCTGAATGGTATTTAATTGCATTTGGGAAAGAAAATAAGTTTAAAGATGAAAATAGGGAGAATCATTAGCAGCGAGCGTTAATTAATGTTGTCAGAATAGGTTGCCTCCTATGTGTCAAAAGTAAACTCTAAATGGTATTCTTCTGTAATCACTTATTTATTCCCACATTGCAGGGATTGCTCCTGGGTCTGTCGTAATAACGGATACAGCCACAGACTCCTTCCCCAAGCCCAGGTCTAGACAGGTGATCTTGGACGACCTGTCACCCGTAGTGCTGAACTTGACAAGGACCTGGCTGAAGAACTTATTCAACTGTAGCAAAGAAATCTCCAGCTTCCCAACCCTTATTGGACATACAATGTGTACCTATGATTGTTATGAAGGTGAGAATAATTCATAAACTCTGCAGGCAACAGAAAAATGCCAGCAACTCTTTGTTAGTCAAACCCATAATTTATATTAAAAACTCCACTTTAGAAAACTAATAGTTGTGGATTAAAAAAGGAACTGAAATAGTCTTTCGAACTTACTAAAGCATAGGAACATAAGGATATAATAAGCAGCCGAAAGACACCCAGAATGAATTTATGTTGTGAGTGGGTTTAACCTCCAAGCATGGACTGAATACTAAAATGCAATAAGTGATGTTTGTGAAATCTTATCTCTGTTTATGCCTCTAAGTTAAATTGGTGGCTCTAAGAGAAGGGAAATGTGCTGATTCGATGTTTCTGCCATTCACCTGGACCTCAGAAGGGATCTGATCCGCAGGAAAGAGTGGGGACCAGGAAATAGGGAGAAATGTTTGGGGGAACAAATCCCACTGGGATGAGATGGTCTCAGAGTGGTGCTTTTATCCCTCAGCCATGAGTAAAGGGTCCCCAGATCAAGCTTAGAGACAAACCAAAGGTGACTGCCAAGTAGCAGTTCTTGTACAGGGGTGAGAGGCCAGGAGAGAAAGACCTTCGAGGACAGACCCTGCTCATTCTGAGAGAAAGAATCTACACAGGGCTGGTTCCAGGCCTTCGGGGCATTCTGGAAGTCTTGCAGTGTAATTTCATTCATCTCAAAATCCATTATTATTTCATTATAAATTACTTTTATTTCCCTTTGGATCAAACTTAAGGTATAATATTGAACTTTTAAAAATTATGTATGGAGATAGATCATATCATCTGTAAATTTTATTTCAGTTGAGCAAAGGCGGTTTCACCACATATTTGTTATAAAATGGGAGGGGTGTTGGATCTGACAGCGTTGAGACCTTCAGTCCTTGGCTCACAGTCCCCTCACCTGGAGGGTCCCCCAGCCTGTGTTTAAGCAGAGCTTGCAAATGGCAGCTTGTGGGAGTCAGTGTTTTCTTTGGCCTGCACAGTATTTTGTAGAATGTGAATTATTTTGTCAACATTTATAATTTATGGAGTTTTCATATGAAAATCCAGATTTCTGACCTTTTGAAATAGCAGGATCTATAATTGTAGAAGGTGCCGTGAGGCTGCTCCCTTCAGACCAGGCAGACCGTCTCCCTGATGCCACCTGCTTGGCTTCTGGGGCGTCTGCCTTTGAATCAGCTTGAGTGACACTCTTTTGGAGGTGTCGGCGGGAGGCTCCGAAGACAAGAGGAGGAACGAGGAGAAATAGACTGCCAGGGAGGAAGTAGCATGAAAGAGGTAGAGAAAGGGGAGAACAAGATAGGAATGAGCCCCAAAGAGGATTGTGTGAATACCTGACGGTGACAGAGTTATGACCGGCCCACCTGCTTCCCTCCAGGCCCTCTCAGGAGTGGGCAGGGGAGAAGAGGTCTGTTTTGGGGCACTCACAGGGTCCAGGGGAGTAATGGTGTTAGGATTTTTCTCCCCCTCGTCTGTCACCACTGGTTGATACAGGTGAAACTAAGTGATCAATGAACGCAGGGGCAGCCCGGAGCGGAAACGTGATCACTAGGGGTGGCATGCAGCCTGGCAGATGTGTGCTGTCTGTGCATGGTTGCTGCTGTCACGATGATCACATGACAGCTGCAATGTCCAAACCACCATCCGATCCCTGCATGGCTTAGGAGCATCACTGAGCCTTGAAGCCTCTTCTTTCCCCCCAGCACCTGTGCCTGGGCCATCCCCCACTCACTGGAGCTACCGAGATTTTCCTCAAAGGGCAGGTCTCCCAGTGACCCCCTGTGTTCATAATGTCCCTGAGCACTGGGCTGGCCATTGCAGCTACTCAGTTGGCTACTGGCCCCACAAGTGGGGACCTCAGCTAGGGACACTCCCCAGCCTCGCTCCACAGCCCTCGGACAGGAAGGTTCTGATGGCCCAGCGTCTCCTACCCGGGGAGCAGGGGCAGGAGTTAGAGATGGTCACAGGGCATTTTAGCCAACAGCAAGCCTCTGGGTGACGCCACTGCCACTGTGGAGGACATCAAGTCACTAAATGTTCTCCATTCTCTTTCAGGCCGAGGTCGGTTAGATGGAGCACTGTGCTCCTTTTCTAAGGAAAAGAAGTTAGATTGCTTGAAGAGCGCGCATAAAGCTGGCATCAGGGATATTGAAATGGAATCTACAGTGTTTGCAGCCATGTGTGGACTTTGTGGTCTAAAAGGTAAGCGTGTCATGGATGGCCAGGGTCTAATTCTCCTTTTCCATGAAGATATTTTCACTGCTCAGGAAGAGAAAAAGGAGTTCAACTATATGTTACTTTGAGTCGAATGCGTGCCTCATAATTATTTATAATATACATGATCTCATATCTTGTGAGTGGGCGAGACATTATTCTCATCATGCAAATGAGGAAACCAAGCCTCAAGGGTCAAAAGCAAGTTGCCCAAGGTCGCCAGCTAGTTGGCATGTGGCCAGGACATGACAGCAATTTCATTTTTCTTTCTCCTTATGGTGGCTGCTATTTTCTATTACAATTGAATGTACTGAGACAGGATGCAACCCAACTATTCCTCAAATAGCCCATCAGTCATCATTTTAATTAACATGGTCAGGGAAGAGTGGAAGGGGAAGGTGCCACATGGAGGGGAAGAGCATTCTGAGAAATGCAAATCTAAGGCCACAAGGTGGGAGCATGCAGGGTGTGCTGGAGTGGCTGGAGGGGGGTGACAGTGGTGGACAATGGTAGGAGAAGAGGGAAGATGTGCAGACTGCAGGGGTCACTGTGAGAACTGCGACTTTCACTTGAAGTGAAAGAGGAAGCCACTGGAGGGCTGGGAAGAGAGAAGTGACTGGATCTGACCATGTTTTAACAGAGTCACCGTGGCTGCGGAGCTGGGAAGAGCCCAGTGGAGTGAAGGGCAGAAGTGGGGAGAGGTGGGGGGGTGCAGCAGTGTGGGCAGAGATGATGGGCAGGGGTAGCAGTGCAGGTGGCGAGAAGTGGTCATGTTCTGGAAACATTTTGAAGATAATGCCCAACAAGATTTGTTGGCAATTTGTTGTGAATTTGGGGGAAAAGACAGTAGTTAAATATGACTCCCAGATTTATGGCCTGAACACAGCTGCAAAGATGAGGTTATCATAATTGGGGTAGAGGAAGTTAAAGTGTAAAGCTGGGGAGAGTAGACATGCAAATGGAGGCCAAGAGAGCAGGGGACTTTATGAATCTAAAGTTTAGGAGAAAAGTTTGGACTAGAGAAGTAAAACTATAATTTGACAGCATATAGATGGCATTTAGAACCATGCAGGGGATGAGATGACAAAGAAAGAGTGTAGACACCACTGAGAAGATGCCCTTGGTTAAATGTTAAACATTAAGAGGGATGGGAGAGACCAAGGGGGGAGTGGCCAGTGAAGGTGACAGCACACCGGGAGAGTGCAGTGTCCTGGCGCCCAGAGAAGAAAACTAAGAAGCAGTAAAGAATTGCAGCGTGATAAAGCTTTATTTTATCACCAGGGGAATGTGGATTCCAATATTTGTCCTTATGGTCAATCAATTTTAATATACACATTACAAACAAAATATATGTGGTCATTTCTAAGAGTACACTTTAGAAAAAAGTTATAGTTCATAAAAAGCGATTAATTGTAGGACCACTATCCTGGACTATTCGCATCTCTCAGAATATGTACACACGCACATCCTTGTAGAATATGGGTGAAGAACAGCAAATGCACCTCTGTGCTCTTTAGAAGGTCGTCGTTAATACCCCCTTTCAGAAAAACAATATCATCTGCTTTTCTAAGTTAGCGAGAGTGGGAAGGCCGGGCCTTGCCTGAGCCGCAGTCCATCAGTGGGCACACAGCCCGCAGGGACACCTGGATTCAGGTATTTCTGCTCCAGGAAATGCCTCCTCACATTTCTTTATTATATAAAGTCCTTATTATATAAAGATCACTCAAGTGATTACTTAAGTCCTGTCTTTACCTATTATGTAAATGGAACAGAATTCAGCAACCGATTTAGTGGAACATAAAATGCCGAGTTACCGACATGCTGGCCTGGTGTGAGTTTGGTGATGACTATTGGTTCTTCCTGGAGAGGCACCGATTGGCAGCCAGGGAGAGTTCTAGGCCTGTGAACCCTAGACCCCAGTCTTTCCGCCTTTAGGATGTTGCAGAAACCTTAGAGATGTTGTTCTGTTACAAGCTTTTCTGTCCTTGCTGCAAATCTTTGTGACCTTGCTCTCTCTGCCACCTGCAGGTGTCCCTTCTGGAAGCTTTCCTCTCTGCCTTTCTGTAGTTCCTGCCCCCTGCTGCATTTTCCTTTTTCTGCTGCTGCTGAACCTGCTGGCAGCTGATTTCAGCCTGCAAATAGCTCTCTTCCAGGCCACTGCTGCAGCCTTTTCATCCAGTAGACCCCTTCCAGCTGCCAATATGCACACTAACGGTGGCGTCTGTAACTGTAATTCTGTAGTTCTTGGGAGTATTTCTATCAGAATGTCTTCGTGGTGACTGGGGTTCTTTATCTCCCCCAGATACCACTGTTTTAAAAGGTGGATCCCTGGTACGCTGTCCCCTGGAAGATCAGCCACCAAGTACACAGACAGAAACCCCAGGCATGGGATGCTATCATGTTCCCTTCTTTCATCGCCACTTCATAACATCCTACCCCCACGGCGCTGAAGCTTGGAAGCTGGCACCTGGCACCTTTTGATTTTAAGCCATTTATAACCCACTTTGTGTGAGCCAGAAAAGCTTGCTTGTGGGGAAGGGCTGAGAGTGCATTCACAAGCAGCTGTTGAAACAGAGGAAGTTAGAGAGGATAAACTGATGGTAAGCAACGTGAGAAAAGAGATTTCACCTGGCATCAACAGCTCAGGGCCCACAGTCCTGTCCCCTATCACTGTCACTATTAGTAATGGCCCAACACCTCCTGTCTCTCCAGGCAGCCTTCTGAGATCTTTTCTGTCCCTTTAATGCTACCAGATGACTGGATAACCAATCTGAACTCATACTAAGGGGAAGGCTGATGGCTTCATTGTATAAATAACAAATTTTTATATAAGCAAAGGTGTTCTGGAGATCCACTGACCTAACACAGAGGAATCACTCACTATGTTTGAATCATTGTAGAAACAGATCTTTCGGTATCTACCTGGCACAAGGAGGTCTTGGGTCCGCATGGATTACCACCCCTTATTTTTTTATTTGTTTATTTTTTTCAGCATATTATGGGGGTACAAATGTTAAGGTTATGTATATTGCCCTTGTCCCCCTTTTCCCCTTGAGTCAGAGTTTCAAGCATGTCCATCCCCCTGTTGGTGCACATCACACTCATTGTGTATGTATATACCCATCCCCTCCCTCCCACCTGCCCAACACCCAATAGATGTTATTCCTATATATCCAATAAGGTGTTGATCAGTTAATACCAACTTGCTGGTGAGTACATGTGGTGCTTGTTTTTCCATTCTTGGGATACTTCACTTAATAGAATGCGTTCCAGTTCTAGCCAGGAAAATACAAGAGGTGCTACATCACTGTTGTTTCTTATAGCTGAATAGTACTCAATGATATACATATACCACATTTTATTAATCCACTCATGTATGATGGGCACTTCAGTTGTTTCCACATCTTTGCAATTGTGAATTGTGCTGCTATAAACATTCGAGTGCAGGTGTCTTTTTCATAGAGTGACTTTTGTTCTTTTGGGTAGATGCCCAGTAATGGGATTGCTGGATCAAATGGTAGATCCACTTGTATCACTTTAAGGTATCTCCATATTGCTTTCCACAGAGGTTGAACTAGTTTGCAGTCCTACCAGCACTGTAGGAGTGTTCCTTTCTCTCCACATCCACACCACCATTTATTGTTTTGGGACTTGTTAATAAAGGCCATTCTCACTGGAGATAGGTGATATCTCATTGTGGTTTTGATTTGCATTTCCCTGATGATTAGAGATGTTGAGCAGTTTTTCATATCTTTGTTGGTCATTATTCACCCCTTATTATCTTTACAATTAATATCAAATCTCACCATAAGCCTCACCTCTGCAGAGAAGCCTTGCAAACTCTCTCACAATTGTGTCATTCTACTGCATTTCTCTGCATCACATTGGCCACTACTAATTGCCTATGTTTCTGGTTTATTTATATAGTAACTTATATATTATTTTGTGCATGTTAATGCATGAAGGTATGTATTTATCATTTCTCTCCATTAGAATACAAGCACCATAAAAACAGGGACCTTGTTTGTCATTGCTATATCCCCTGCACTTAAAATAATGTCTCCCATATGCACTTTCAATAAATATTTGCCATATGAATGAATGAATGAGTGAATGAATGAAAAGGATGGCTTCTAGACTCTTTTTGGCCATGGCAAATGGCCATAGCAAACTGAATCCTTCACTCCCCAGCCACATTTGTGGCTCGGTATTGTCTGAAAGACTTAAGAGTGCCTCCTAACTGTCCCAATAGGAGGAGGCAGAGCCTTAATAAAACCTCCCTCTGCTGTAAGGTCCATACAAATAATTCCTTTGCTGTGTCTGTAGCCCCTGGGTCTCTCGATATGTGGTAGGTAGGTGGATAAACTGCCTAGAATAAGGCCACCGAAACCATAAGTCACTGTTGCTATGCTGATCCCATTATTCTGGAAAAGATTACTGGGAGCCCAATACTGCTTAAACAGAGATTTGGGTGAAGAGAAATAGCAGAATTCACCAAATGATCTCACATCAAAAAGCTGAGTCTTCAGAATAACATAAACCTGTACAATGGAAGCGCTACGCGATGCTGAATTAATGCATTCATCTATCATTTTATTATATAATATGCTCATCCCTGTCCCTCTCTTAAAGCAAAATCTACTTTAATTAAACCCCTAACATTCAGATTAAAGATGATAATCCTTTTGCACTGTGAACTTGCGATAAGTAAGTTCAATTTGTATTCATGTTTTAAAGATGGTGGCTGCCTTTTGACACATGCTTGCATGGCAGGATATGAAGCCTAATATTTGTCTAAGAAAGATTAGGTTCAGCTTAAATCCTCTTCTATGTCTTTAGTTGTTTGCAGCACTCACAGTGGCTTTTCTTTAGAGTAAAAGGAGAATTCAGTGTTATTTCCTTTGACAGACACTGGTAACTTTGGGGAAATATTCAGTCTTTATATTACTTTAGTGCAGTTCAGTAAGAGGGAGCAGAATCTTGACTTT